TAGAGACCAGACGCCGCGAGGTCTGTACACACCACAGAGGGTCCAGAATTTCCCATACAGACCAACTAAACTCGGTTAAGTAGACGTTTATTATCTGTAAACAAGAAAAAAATTAATTCGTTTAATGTAACTGGTTTGTACCAGTTGACATTTTATTTGCGAACGGCAATGAGCTGAACCTTAATCTGCCAAGGTGTCTCGTCCTCTTTACTTTTTTTGCTCTTCCATGTAGTCAATATATATATATATATTTTTTTTTTTATGTTAGAAGAAAATAGTCAATATTTTTGTATTTTAGGAGAAAACAGTCTTTTTCACCGCAAAAGGTAACTGGTCTAGATGGGAAAATCCTGACCGCGGTAAATATTGATTTTAATCAATCAAATTCGTGAATTTGGTAGTTCGCAGTACTTGTGACACACAGCCATATAATACAAGTAATGTAAACAATATCAACTTTAGTTGAAAGAAGTTTAAACGCTGTGAAAGCGATGACAGATGCACAAAGGCATTAAAATCACTCAATTTATTAACTGTCGTTATTCAATTGTCAAGTTTAAACCCGGTGAAATAAATTAATGAAACTAACATTGAACAGCCACAACGATAAAGTAAACAACTTAAGAAAGTTTTTTTTTTTTTTTTTTACCTTCCACAATAAGTGTAGCAGTCCTCTCATCACTTCCTAAAACGTTCACTGCTATACACATATAATCTCCTGAGTCACTGAATGTTGACTTGGTTATTTTAAGGGCGCCATTTTTATCGCTGACAAAGCTCCCTGCCACAAGAGAACCATTGACTTTGCTCCAGGTCACCTTAGGTTTTGGGCTTCCTCTAACCGAGCAGTTAAATGTAGCGGTCTGGTTCTGAGTGACTGTTTGAGTGACAGGTGATACAGTAACCTCTGGAGATGAAATGGATTCACCAGGATCTCCCTTCAATCCCATGAACCCTCTGGGTCCAGTATCACCTGTTAATTATAAATTGTGTCAACAATTAATAAATGGTAAGCGTGCAGCGTGCGACTATCGAGTTATGGATGCACGCGGGAAGATGCTAAGCACGAAAGAAGCGTAAGAGTCGCACGGGGCGATAGCGGACTGAGACTCTAGCTTCTTGAGTGCTTAGCAAACTAACCAAGTACATCCATAACTCGATAGTTGCACGCTGCACGCTTACCATTTCTTTTATAACATTAAGAATTTTTAAAAACACTTTTTTTTTTATTGAATCTCGCCCTTCTTACATGAAGTCAAAATCAAGATCAACCGCGCAAAAATGTTCATTCAAAATCTGACAAAGCGACACAACATTTTCTTGGATCGCGGTGGTTTGCTCGATCTAGGACAAACAAACAACTTCAAACTGCTCAGTTAACCTAAATGTCAAGCTAACAACAAACGAAACTTGCTGTCGGTAAAAACGTTTCTCAAAAGTTGGTAAAATTTGGATTGGTTTTCCGAAGTATTCAAGACAAGCTTTTGGTGGTTGAGCTCTCTGTCCTTCACGGCTTCTGCGGCAAAATTGAAGAAAAGAACAGCACGGACCGGACATTTCTTACACCTGTAAAAGCGAGAGTGGGAAAGAAAGCGAACAAACACGCGGCTTTGAGCTGTTTAATTTGAGATGCTCTTCTTCTCCGTTTTAAATTGATAAGTTGTGCCTTTAAGGTTGAAATTGAAGAGATGATCTGAACGACTTTAAAAAAAAATAGTCTTTATTATTGGTTAAATTCTTAACTGAACAAATAAAATAAGCTTAACTGAACAGAAAACTGAGGCTTAAAGGAAAATGTTAGAAATGTAAGCTTATATTTGTGCACGATGAAGTCGTTCCTTCAAGAGGCTGTTCCTTCAAGGGTTCAATTTACGATCGAGCAAAACTGAGACCCGCGTCGACTGAAATAATTTATCAGGCTACCAATATTTGATAAACAAACGGACGAAAGAGCGAGGCCAGGGAACGAACGACCCAACCATTCAACCATATCAGCTACAGAGGTATCAAGGTCAGCAAGGAAACGAAGGAGTAAACAAATAAACCGACGAACGTGAAAGCGAGGAAACGAGCAACTGAACGGAACACCAAACGAAGGCATTATAGAAGGATATACGGATGAATAAACAGTTCCTATAGATGATTCTGAATGTGCCCTGGCATATCATCACCAAACATTCAATCGATTGGAAGTATATATATTTTCCGATTTCAATGATGATTACCTTTTACAGTGATTTACCTTTTTCACCCTTTTCTCCTTTTTCTCCTTGATTTCCCATAATGCCTTGCTGACCGTGTCTACCAGGCAAACCCATGATGCCTTGCTTTCCCTTTTTACCCTTGGCGCCTTGCACTCCTCGTCTTCCTCGGGAACCTTTGCTTCCTTTCTGACCGGGAGGTCCTGGGACGCACACTTTTTCCAATGGCTGACACAGTGATGCTGGTTTGAGTTTATTGAACTGTTTGGTGATTTCACTACGGACATCTTCTACGCTGAGAGATTTGTTGCTGACAGAGATCAAGCTGCGGCGAACTTTGGTGTTTGTTGTCTTTTCGGTATCTAAAAAAAAAAAGACAGGTAATTTACATAGACATAGTTTTACTCTAGACTGCGGGCATACCTCTACCTATATATATTTAATTCCTTTCAAGGTAAGAGCCGACGTGTGCACGCATGCTGGTTTGATTGGTTTCATTTCAGACATAAGGTATGAAAACCGTGACGTTATGTCAACTATTTCACTTCTTACAAAGAAGCAAAGCTCTAAAACTTACGTTTTTTCAGCCTTTTTCCATTTCCATTCTAATCTCCCCTCGAAACAGATACTGTAGATGGAGAAGCCTCTTTTAAAAGTTTTGCCTGCGTTTTTTAGCCGAGTGATTGTTGTGGGCGTAGGAATTTTTTTTTCTTTTTAAACCGAATAATTTGATCAAATCTTAGCAGCTTAAGCCACAAAAATAACATCTCCGATATTCTGATAAGTAGGCTAACGGCTGGCTCAATCGACACAAGAACGCAACTAAACTTAGAAAAGGGGTTTCTCTACTTAGTGTCAAAGTTTCTCGTAAACGAAATTTAGAACGGAAATAGGAAGAAAAACGTATCTTTTACCGTTTAGTTTCTTTGCAATCTTGCTCCGATTACCCATAACGCCCATTATAGCATGAAGTGGTCTATTGGACCCCTTACATCGTGACTTTACCGAGAGAATTTTAACTTTAAGGCTGCTATGTATAAAATAACGAAAACAGAAGTCACGCTGATAAGCAAATTTCCGTTATTTGTAATCAATGATACCAGATGATCAAGTTCAGTTTTGTCTGATCATTGAAGTTTAGTAAACAGATCTCCCGTAATTTGATTCACGGTCGGCTCTGAAAGCTGGCGGGTTTGTCTTTGTCCGTTTCAGACATTCAGGTGTGCCAAATATGCCAAATATTTCCCCTCTTATACCGAGGCAAAAAGAAATGGAACTCTATATATCGCGACTCGCTCAGAGGTCTTTAAAAGTGGCTCTGTATTAAGACTATTAAATAAGAAAAACAGACGTCAGGGTGATAACTAACCAGAACTCCGCTATTTCGCTATCAGTGTAACAAGATGATTAGTTTTGTGTGATCTTTGAAGCTACTTTCAGTGCGCAGACTTCCCGTAATTTAATCAGTGACGTATATTAAAGTGGAATCTCTCTTCTGTTGAAAACAGATCACAACGAAGAATAAACTGAGTTACGAGTATTCTAACTGTATACAACATTGCGAGAACTATGACGTCAAACGGGAAACAGTTCACTGTTACCCGCGAAATTTTGACCGCTGTTGCAAGTCATTTATAAATAAAGTGATTATTTGGTGTTCACCGGTTTGACCCATTTGTTTCGCTATATAACAAATCACTTAATGACTGGTCCCTTGGGGAACAGTGAATTTTGTTTCCCGAGAATTTCAATGTTTCCCGAGACGAGGTCGAGGGAAACATTGAGATTCGAGAGAAACAAAATCCACTGTTCCCCTCGGGACCAGTCATTAAGGGTTAATTGTTTCATACAATCAACTTCTCCGACCTTCTTCAATAAAAAAGATTCATCTAAATGACTCAGTACTGTAACGCATAAATGAATAAAACTGACAATCAAAAAGAGGTCGTCTACTTACACTCTGGTGTGTCCATTTCGTTTCTGTGATCTGTTGTTTGCTGTGATCTGATATCGATGCGGCTTTCCACTTTCGAAATTCGCAGTTCGTTTATCTCTGTTTTCCTGTTGATCGATTCCATTCTCAAAAACAGCGCAACAATCAACAACAACGAAATAAAGGACAGAAACGAAGAACCTTTGAGGAGAACGTCGCCACATTTGGAGGAAGTTTTCTTGTTTGGTTCCATGGTCGGCTCTAATTAACAAACAGTTGTCTGAACAAGCTCGATTGTCGTGTAAACTGAACGTTTCATTTCCTTTTAGCAGCAGTTTCGTGTTCCTGTATACGGGATATGCCAAGACATAACTGTAAAGCGAAACCGTTATTAATTGATCTGTCATTGTTTGGAAGAAACTTCAACCTTCAATTAAAGCCAAGAATGACAAATACCCGCTGTTCTGGCACGAGTATCCTTATTATTGTTTTTTTTCCCAGTATCGTGAGAACCTTGTAGGGGTCATAAAAAAAAGAAACATTAAAACAAAACAGACTGAAACTAATACTTTAATACTTTTACAAATACCACAATGTAGTAATGAAATTCCTCGCGTGGCGAAGGTGCGGGGCTTTTTTTTTGTCTGTTATTTCCATAAGAAGGTCAATTTTTTTTCTTATTTGACTGAATACTCTGCTCAATTACAGGCAATTTTATGGCGGAGAAAATTACCTGACTGTGATTGGCCGAGTTTTTAATTTGTACCCAGTGCAAATTAATGCGCGTGTGTTCGTAATTGTCTCTGTCATATCATAAATGACGGATCTTATGAAAACTCGGGCAGTAAATCGAAATAAAGGATTTGCAATACTCTGGATGTTTAAACCTTCTTTTAAATTGTACTCGCCTGCAGGCTAATGCAATGTTGAGAAAATTTTCAAATGTTACTCAGATCGTAAATTCGTAATTCCACTTGCATTCATACGGTTACCGATACTAAAACTAACCTGACTTACATTTTAGAAAGTTTGAAAGGCTTTGCGTCAGAGAGATAAAATTTAGCCACATTTTCAGGCTCGAATCTTCGAAACACTATCACAGAACAGTTAGCCTCTGCGCCCTTCCCTTAAAGAAATGAATTAAAGTAAATTAATTTTGTAAAATCCATTACAAGTTGTTGATGAGCACTTGTATGAACATTTATGTTCAAGTTATAAGAACAAATTTAGAGTTCAACAATAATCTGAAACGTAACTTTCTTGAAAATGTAACTTGTGATTAGTCCTACTCAACGAATCCACAGATTTAACGAGTAGGACTGGGCTGGTGTGTTTCCTGTATGAGTTTCATAACCAAAGTCATATTCAGTTGGCGCTCCAGACGTGTATTCAACAAAAGAAGCATCGTCTCTTTTTGTTATTCCAACCCCGTGATCAGCGCGTGATCTTGAAGTCTACACAGCGCGCCAACCGAAGAGCTGGTGAGATCATGTCAGAGTTAATGGATGGATCTGTTGTTGTTGCCATGGCAACTTGTTGGTCATACACCCAGCTACCATCGTCACGTATCCAGGTTTTACTGTCGCTGTTTGAGAATCGGGCGATAAGTACCCACCCTCTGTGATACGTTGCAACGTCACAAGAAACCTGATTCATGCATATGGGAAACATAGAATCAAATATAATAACAAACTATTATTGGCTTGAGTGATACAGTTTGCATACTTGTATGATACTGATTTTCGCAGCGTTAAACAACCCTTTTAATCAATCACCGAGGGCTACCGTCACACACAAAAATAAAAGTTTAACAGAATAAGCTATTTAAACTTAAATTCAAACGAAAAAACAATAGTTTCAATAACAAAAGAAAAATCGCTATCACCAACGGGAAGCTGAATTAAATATTCCCGAGAAGTGGTGTGCATGCATTAAAGTTCAAAATAGCAACCGTCAAATGTTCATTTTCACAACAACAACATATAATACCTTCCTTTTTCGAATATCATCTTACGCTAAGAATAATAATAGCCCTCTGGTGTAAAACTTGAAAAATTATATTCATAAGAGTTCTTTAATCTTGCAAATTTAACTAAGATCAAGTGTTGCTATATCTCGGCTGTATTCCTACAGAAGACATCATGGATAGTTGCATGGAACAGCCATGGGGTCGCCTGTTGTTGTCGCAGAAACTGTGATGCAACACGTGGACGGACGCGCCCTTGCAACTTGCCGACAAACGATACCGCTTTGGTTACGCTAAGTTGACGACACTTTTATCGCAGTTCACAAAGACGAAATTGACGGCCGGTTTTCACAACCACTTTACCGAGCAGAACGCCGATATCCAGTTTACCAAAGAAATCGAAGGAAATGGAAAACTTCCTTTTCTAGACTGTTTAGTAAGCCGCGGAAACAGCCGTGACGAACTGCGAACGACAGTGTACAGAAAACCGAAGCACACTAACAGATTACTTGACGAATCATCCTATAACCCGAATTTACACAAAGCCACGACTATAAAGACTTTGGCGAGACGAGTGCAACTAGTTTGTGACACACCGGACAGCTTACGTGACGAAAACAGATACCTTGAACATGTTTTTCACAAGAACATCTACAACTTAACCCTGACTATATTAGACGAAACATTTACCGACCTACTGAGGCTGATGCTACGAACAGGAACCCGACACCTGTTACTACAGTGACTATACCTTACATTAAGGGCACTTCTGAGACCATCTCACGAATCCTACAGCCCTACAGCATCCATGGAGCCCAAAAACCTTCAACTACGTTACGACACTTACTGACCAATGTTAAAGACAGGGACGAACTCAACAACAGACAGAGAGCAGTCAACTAGACTAAATGCTCCGACTGCCAGGCTTCCTACATTGGTAAGACTCGTAGAAACCTTAACAACGAGACTGACTGAAAGCAAACGAGCCACGAGAAATGGTGATGCCAACAATCACATTGCTGTACATCACCAACTGACAAACTACAACATTGACTGGGACTCTGCTGCTCAATTCTTAACCTACAGTACAAACTACTTTCAACCGACTGACTCTAGAAAGCTGATACACTAACTTAGAGAAATGGTGATACCAACAATCACATTGCTGTACATCATCAACTGACAAACCACAACATTGATTATAATAAAGTTACCATATAACGCACGCTCTGATTGGCCGAAACAGAGTGCTTTATCGGAGTACAGAGCACGGGTTGATGACGGTAAGCTGGCTTTCAAACTTTTACTTCGAAATTTTGACAAATTTGACGCAAATTAAACACCCCATTTGTCTCAGACAAACGCAATGGAAACGAGCTCTATGTATGCAGTAAATATGGCTCACAGAGACCATTGTTAGCAACAGTAGTGTGAAAACTGTACTAAAATGACAAGTTTTGCTAGATTCCCGCCGACAAAACACGTAGCGAAATAAACAAATTCTAAACCTAACCAGTGCTTCGATAAAAGGCATTATATTTGTTACGAAGGCAGAAACTATACTTAAGAAGTAAAACAACGACAGAAAATAACAATTGAACTGTTTCTGTTTATGATGAGAAGCTTTATTTTTGTAAAAATGCTCAATTGCTCAAACAACACTTACTACGATTATCAGTTGAGTAAGGCACGAGAGAAGTTTGGTTACGAGGTTTTGGCCTTAAAATTATGGTGTTGTCACGAGCAACTTACCTCGTTTCCGTTGGTAACAATATCAAAAGCCGTTGGTCGCCTGTCGCGTCGCCTACAATTTCGCGCGCTTTGCTGCCAATGACGTCAAAGGCCGATAAGTTGTCAATGGATACGGAGCCAGTTGCTCGTGACAACAGCACCATTTTTACGTTAAAATTGGTGACCAAACTTTCGTCCCGCCTTACTCAACTGATAATCGTAGTACATGCAGTGTAGTAACGCTTGTTCTCTGGTCATCTCAGCGAAGTGAACCGACGAGCGGTCAGTTCAAAGCTTGCTCTGATAGTCTCTTCTGTGCTTGGAGCACGACCAGTGGGAGCAGTTTAGCGGTCTGTCTAACTTTTACGTTAGTTCGGGCAATCTTGCTGCAAGTGGCTGCAAGCCGTAAATAACTATAGCTCCTTTCAAATTCAACCTCAGCATTTCGCATTTTCATCCACAAGCTTTAGGCTCCTTGTTTCGAAACTTCCATTGGAAAAGTGCACGTTTTCACAAGCCACAATATGGCCGAATTCCTCTGTACTACAAACCTTTACCTGCCTTTAGATCCTTATTTAAAAATTAACTAAAAAGCGAACTTTGAAGGCATTGTTCTTCTCTCGAAAACGGCTCAAAACTACTCGAAACTGAAAGCTTAGCTGAGGTCCTGTTTGTGATTGACAGCTTTCTCTTCGTTAGCCAATCAAATTATTTGAACAATTCTAACAAGGATTGTGATTGGCTTATTTTAGCGTGCTTTATCTGAGAACAGAGTACGGCTGACGCCACTTTCACTCGTTTGGAAAATGACGTTTGGTTTGAAAATTCAGCCGAATGCGTGGAGAAATTATCGAATTCTTTATCATAAAACAAATAAAGAAGCCTCGACTGTGCTCTGTTCTGTTGTAAAGCACTTAGGAAGCGGTAGAGCACTCAAGAAGTAGGCAAAAACACTAGACTTTGTCAGTCGTGTTTTCCCCTACACTTCTTTCGTGCTGTACCACTTCCTAAGTGCTTTACAACAGAACAGAGCACAGGCGAGGCTTCTTTATTTGTTTTATGACAAAGAATCTAATAATTTATTGTTTATGTTATTTGTTAACAGGGACTCTGGTCAATGCTTAACCTACAGTACAAACTATTTTCAACGACTGACTCTGGAAATTAAGCTGGTATACTAACTTAGAACAAACCCCTCTTAATAGATGTCAACAACCACCAGCGCCTTACAAACGACTTTTCCACGACGTAAACGAAACCGACAAATTGGACTTCTACTAGATCGACTTAATTTGACCATCAATAGACAAACCTCAAACTGACCAATTTGACTAACAATAGACGGATCGAAACCGACCAATGACTGATGACAGACTTTACAGGAGTCTTTCAGCCAATACCATCATGGCTAAACTGACCAATCACATTCAACAGACCAGACTTATAACATCATCGACTAACGAGCCAACACTATTCACTGGACTCTGAAGGTGACTTCCGCTCATTGTCGAAACGTCAGTCACCAACAACAGTTCTTTTCAGAACTACCCTCACCAGGACGATCACACTATACGAACTCATGCTACAATCATGGCATTAAAAAGGTCACAAATTGGCAGACAAGTTATGACCATTTCCTTAGCATTGCAAGTTACCATGCCAACGATATAACTTGTTACTTCTGTGAACCACACGTTTTATTATCGATTTATAATCAGCATGTCAGGATTTGACTCTTCAGGAAATTAAAAAAAAAAAAGTGGGAGCGGCTTCAGAGCTACAACAAATTGTAGAAAACATAAATTGATCTGAACTCCCTCCGTTTAATTTTTTGGCCAAACTTGTATTTCAATTAGCAACCTTAATACAATTTCGGTTGTAATAAATAAAATGGGGTCGTCGGACTTGCTGTTTTAGTTACAAGCATTTATTTTTATTAAAGCCGATATAACGGGTG